CTGTGGTGTTGCGACCAACGGATACCAGGCTGCGCTTTTGTTGACGGTTGCGGCGCTCTCTCTTGCAATGACTGCGCTCTCGTCGCAAACGCATTGCATGGATAGCTGAGACGTGATGTATTAATATATATTCTGACGAATGCCCACAGCCAGTTATTCCCAAAAATCGCCTGTTGGGGACCAGGTATCGTGCTCATGCGAGCTTATACCTCAGTGCAATGGGATCTCTTGGAGTGTTTAGAGAAAATGCAATAATAAGAACACAAATCAGTTAAACAGGGTATGAGAATCTGAAAACCCTTTCCGTTTCTTACAAAATCACACTAAAATAAAATGAAACACAATAGCACAAAAAACTGAAATCCTTTTAATGCAGCAAGAATTGATCTTAAACTATTCGCACAAATCATCATTAGGAATTCCCTTTATTACTCTGTGTTCAGGCGGCGATATAGTCGAAGAAAAGTTTGGAGAGAAAATAGAAGCAGCAACGAAACATCACCTCTTCTATCAGTAGTTTTTTGTCAGACACGCGTGTGCTGGAAAAGAGACGACACACAATTGACAAAGATTGTTACTTGGAGAAAAAATAAACGAGTATTGAAGAAATTGACACAGTTACCTCTGTCCAAACGAAATTAAACCTTTCCTGACGAATTTCGTATTTTTTTACTTCATGTTTCAACTGCATCCAGTGCCTGGTACACACCGAATTGAACCCTGAAGGCGTTCAAAACGCCTTTACTCAGCCCTCTGCATTAGTTTGTGATGACAATGCGAGCAGGCGTCAGAGGTAGGGAATCGGTGACTTCCTAGTATATCGACAATTGCAATTTTACGCGGGGCTGCCCAGGAGCTGTTGCGATCTTTCGGTGACGCTCCGAACGAACAGGAAACAGTTGACAATCGACGTCAAGGAACTTTGTGCGAAAGAAATGAGTATTTGATCAACAGAGAAGAAATTCGCGCGGCTTTTTGGGGAAAATTCTCCGAAGCACCAAGCTTGAAATGTATAATCCTTGCCTCTGAAACGCCTTCAAAGAACATCAAAATGCTCTGTTAAAAAAACAAACCGCCAAATTTGATGTAATTTGGCGCTCAATGAGCCAACAATCCAACTAATTAAATTTGCTACAATTCCTATTTACATGAACCAATGATAAAATATACAATTTAACACTTTATTCAAATAACTTTACTACAAAAAAAGTGTGCAGCTGCACTACACTCCACAACAATTTCGCTGTGGCCGTTACAACATAAAGTAATATTGAGCTATTTACAGTTTCATAGGCAATGGTGTTTTTAAAAAGGCAAGAATCTCAGATTCTCCCGTATGCTTATTTCCCTCACAATTTCCTGGTTAACACGTTCTTCCTGGTCGCCGTGACTTTCACCCAATTTTCAGCGCTTTCGCGCCGTTACCTCCCTCAGCTGCGTCCTCCGAGCTCCTTGAAGCTCTCCGACGTCAGCGGAGACTCGGCCGTACCCTCTGCTTTCGGCATCTGCGCAGCCGATCGGGCCCGTGGTCGCCGGTGACTACTCGCTGCCTTCGCGCCGCCTTCCAGTCTTGTTTTCCCGCCGCCTTTCGTCATCATCTTCTACAACCGGCGCCTGTCGTCCTTGTCTGTTTTGTCCCCCTCGACGTTTCCGTTTACGTCCGCGTGCAAATGTTCCTTGCGCCGCAGTGAAGAACTCGTGCGTACGCTTAGCTCTCGCTCGCACTGTTCCGAATTTCGCCGCTGATTGAAATTTACTCCATCTCAGCACGAACTATTTCCCTATTGCACTGTCCTCAGCTTCGCAGTAACTGGTAGATTCCAGATTAACTCTCCGCGTCTGGTTTGAAAAAATAATTTCTTCCAGAAAAATTCTAATATCTAAAAAGTTCGCGGACGGCTACGTAGGCGTCTGTCCGACGTCCAACACTCCTTCCTAGTAGCTCGGCGCAGTTGCTACAGGACCGGCGGTCAAGAACTGAAGAGTGCTGCTGGCTCGAAGACCAGGAACGAAAGACAGTGACTGACCGTGGGCTCGTCTATTTATGCACGCGCCCACCGTGTGCGCAGCATCTCCCCTCTCCGGCCTGACTGCTTCTACGTTATATTACTGCGCCGTGCCGCGTACAGAGCGCGCAATAGTATTGTAGGCTACGGGCGCGCTCTTTTCAAACAAAAGAATAATAAACGTGCTACCAAAGTACATACTTTCTCGCATTATTTCTAAATGCTCCGCAATATTATACTACTCCATTAACCAGCAAATATTTGTTCCGCTCCGAGACCCGAATTCAGATTAACAGTTAACTTGCTAACATTCACACTACTACCAGTTGCGTATCCTACTCAGTGACCATTGAAGATATCAAAACTTACGAATTAAACAAGGTACAGCAATTTTACAACAGTTACAACAGTAAGTTAGTTATTGTTTTACTTTTTTAAAAATATTTTTAGATCTTTTCTTTTATCTACTGGGTGTGGCCTGAGGTATATTGTCAAATAAATAAATAAATCAAAAAGGGTAGTCCACTCTTATGACAGGGAGTGAGGGAAGTCCCATGAACCTACTCTCCTAAATTCCCCAGACACCATATGAGGTATCAAAATTTGATATATGTTTCAAATTTGCAAGGCCTCTAGTTTGTCCATAAATTTGGGAATATCAATTTTTGAAAATATCATATGAAGTATTGTAGTACTAGTTTTGTTCACAGAGGAACCGACAGACAAATGTTTCAACAATAACAATTTAAGGTACAATTTGTAAAAGAAAAAAATTACTTCTAATGGTATGTTTGATAAACAAATACTTCTGCTGTTTTTACATACATACATAGTAAACATTAATTTCAATGATGAATTGTGATCATTACATTTTAATGTAATGTTTAATATTGATTTCATGATAACAGAGCAGGTAGCTCATTGAAATATCTTCGAGACTACTTTGTTACATCCCAAAGAAACATAAGAGTAGCAAAATTGTAATTCTCTATTTGTGACATGAATTTTACTGTTTGTATTGTGATAAATCATTTGTTCTTTGTTATATCTTTCTACCTTCTGAATATACACAGATAGATTTGATTTTTTTAGACTTCTTTGCTATTTGTTACAGAAAACACACATTAACATTCATTGTTTCCATCATTTACAAAACTAATTTTAACTATTTACAAAATTAATTTTCTACTTTTATGTGTTTTATAATTTTTCTTTTAAATTCTTTAATTTTATCAGAATTTTTCATTTCTGACGGTAATTTATTATAAAATTGACATCATTTATCAAGAAATCTATATTTTGCCTGTACAGTTTTACTGAAATTAATTAATAAATTTTGTGCTTGTCAAGTTTCTCCTGTTTTATCTTTCACTCTTTGTTTACTAAATTTTCTGTTATCTGAAGTTTGATAATTTTTTAAAAGAAATAAGCATCTTGTATTGAATACTCTATTTTAAAAATATGAGAGTGACATAAATTTGAGTGTCTAGCAAGTCTATTACTGGAGTGTGTCTACTGCATTCAATTATTACCCTCATGGCTCTGTTTTGATGCATCTGAAGTTTTTTTATTTCAGTTTTTGGACTTCACAGGATATTACACAGAAATCAAAATGGGGTTTGATTCTGGATTTATATATCAAATATCTTGTATAGCCATCTATATATTGCCCTATTCTGTTGAAAATATTAATCTTTTATCCAGTTTTCTTTACTATGTAATCTGTAAAATTTAATTTACTATCAATAATTACTCTTCATCTATTTCATTTTATATACTCGATGAAGTTCCTTTATGTCAGTTGCTCTTACATCCACATTTTTCTCACTACATAATAACAAATTTAGTTTTTTGATCATTCATTATTCATATATTTCCCCTTAAGCATTCTTGTATTGTAATAAATACACTCTGCAGTTTAAATTCAATTTTCGCTTCTGTTTCAAGCTGAAGCAAAGAAAAAAGAACTACATATCACATCCTGTGAAATAGAAGGAGAATAGAAGCAGAAAAAAATGGTCAAAACTTGCCTCCTCACCATTTCAAGTTATAAATATAGAATGTACTACTATTGTTAAATTTGATGTAGTTGCAAACATAATTGATATGTATTATTAATGTAATTATTATTAATATAATTATTATAAGTAGTAGCATTAAAATATCATATTGAAATGTTAATTATTAGCAGATAATTTATCTACTGTATAATATCTTAATCTAATGGTAACAAGTATTGTATTTCTAGGTCAATGACCCCATCTCGATCAGGTTTTTTTCAGTTTCCCTGGTCCTTTGAGCAAATGCTGAGATGGCCCCTTGTTTGCTCCTGAACAGTAATATAACTTCGCTCTCTTCACCCAAGGCATCATATTGACTCATCATACACGATTGTAATTGTATATGCGACTCAATAAATATTATTATTATTATTATTATTATTATTATTATTAATCAATGTAAATTATAAACAATATTGGACCTAAAACTAACCCTTGCACAACTCCTAGTCTAGATTCAGTAATTGTCCTGTCAATCGTTTCGAATGTCCTCTTGAGATCCAAGAAGGTAACTCCTGCATTCTTTCCCACATCAATATTAATCTGCCTTTGATCTAAAACTGCTTGTATCACAGTTTCACATGACTGTTTTTCCTCCAAAGCCTGATTGTTTATTTCCTATAATTTTGTTTCAATATACTCATTCAATTGCTTCTTTACTATTTCTTCTAATATTTTTTCATATATGGGTAGTGTATTATATTGGGTTCGTAGGCTTCCGCAGCCCGAGTCAATGTATTCTTGGCTATACGGGATGAGCCGGGATTAACCGACATGCGGCTCATCCCGGATAGCCAAGAATACAGCGTATTATATTGGCCTAAATTAAGTTGCTCTCTTTCTATTTGTCACTTTTGGAAATGGTATTACATAACATGTGTTAAAAATAATCAAATGAAAGAACCAATTAATAACTTCATAGGTGAAATATTACCTGCCCCTGCACCTCCTGATGATTGTGAAAGCTGAACACTAAGAGCTGCCTGAAGACATAACTGTGTTTTGCCTGCTCCACTTTCCCCTGACACTTCAGTGATTCCTCTTCGAGCAAACCCACCTCCAAGTTCTTCATCTAAGACTTTGCAACCAGTGGTCAGGAAGTGATACTTCAGTTCTGCAGCTAAATATTTACTTCATCAATTATGCTATCAATCTCTCCAATTTACAGATAAGCATTATAGTACAAATTTCCATGCAAAAATCAGTTATCCTATTTTCTAAGATTCAAAAGGCACTATACATGATTTGATAATCAACAAAAATTTGTTATTGATTAATGTCAGCCATCACTTCTTACTTCCTTATCACTTTATTAGTGATATACAAATTTTAAGATGCAGTTTAAACAACAGTAGGATGTGTAAAATTCTTTTGTTTAAACAAGACAATTATCTTAATTCTATACTTTTATTTTCCTTAGAAACTATAAATAATGTATAACTTGAAAAGCAGGTAGCAAAATCGTTTATAAACTACACAAGTCTTGTTTATACGTAAAAGTCAGACATTTTACTACCTGTTTGAGAGATGCAATGAAATGGAATTATATACAATAATCCATAATGCTAATATTATTATTCAGTACATTTAAAACTTCATGAAGGAAATTTAAAAAACACAAGTGATAATTCAAACCTCGTAAAAATTTTGTAGCAACAAGTTCTTCGGCACAATGCATTTTCACTGCTTCCACATCCTCTTTTGTGAGATTAGCTTTTTTCCGCAAATCTGCTGCAGACATCAACATGGCCTGAACAAAACTTAAACCAGCTGAAATATAATGCATTATACACTTCAATTTCAAAAGATAATAGAAAATTATTCTTTTTATATAAAATACTTCATTCAATTATTTTCATTTCTGTCTTTCTGCAACCTGTTCTTTAACAAAAGAAGCTCTATAGTACCTGGCCACTAATTTTAAAAAGAAAATTTTTTGGGGCTACAAAAGCTCCGAAGACCATTCTTTACCTTATATTGGTATATTCCCACCTTGGGAGTATACCAATATAAGGTATTAAATGGTAATTAAGTTCCCTTTCCAAAGAAGTTTTGAGCATTTCTAATGGAAAAAAACAACACATTATTCACAAAATTTCAAAATAATCTAAAATCCATCTCTATTAAATAAATATACATTTTATGTTCAACCAGTTTACTTGTACCTTTGTCAAGGCTATCCCTCACGCGGGCCGGAAAATTACAGGACGATGACATCGTTAACTTCAATATCAAGCACTCACGCAATCTTTATAAACACTGTATCTTGCATTTGTGTTTCGTTCTCGGTCACGGATTAAATCGGAAGATATTAAACATCACATTGCCGCCAAATCCACGTCTGTAATTCACATCGAAATCTGGCATATATCGAACTCACTTTTCGATAAATGTACCACCTCGAACGTAAAGCACTATCCATCTGCGCATGAGCAGAAGCACGAGAGGCACTAAAGTAATGCGAAACTTAAACTGCTTAAACTGCACACGCACAGAAGCGCACAGAAGCGCACAGAAGCACACAGAAGCATACAGAAGTAGATAGTGCTTTAATACGTTCGAGGTAGCATAATCCGCCGAGAGTCCGATCTTGCGGTGGAGTTCAAAGAAACTAGTGCAGCTACAACACGTACTTTGGCGTTACATTGTGTTGCAACAAGTAATAATGACGACTAATTCGTATGGAATACACATTTTGCCAATAAGCATTGTTGATGTTGATACCCCTTCGAAGAAAATGAAAATGGTTAGTAAAATATAAAAATTAAATATAATATTTTTATATACATCAAAATTACTCGGCTTTTCATTCTTTGGCAACTCATTCCCACATCAAAGCAAAACATATATTCGTTTTCACATTTAACTCAATTAACGAATGCAATTTAAAATACGTTTTAAATAATTTCTAAAAGATTAATTTTAAAAAGTATAACAAATGCTCAAATGTAAGAAGGATAATGTACAAATTCCAACTGATTAGCATTCAACTCCCTGGCATCGCCATTTATTTTACATTCAAGAAGTGCAGTAAATTCGCAGCTGCAGACTGTGTATGACGCTAAATTACACACACACACACACACAAAAAGAAACTTTTATTTTCGAAAAATTCGACATAAATATTCACAATGGTAGGAAGACGCTGAAATATATTTAATTTTTAAAAACTTATCAAAAAATCAATCATACTGGTGTAGGTAAAATAGGATTGGGGGCTGGTGAAAGATGTGGAGTGGGAAGGAAGGTGTGGGAGTAGAAGAAGGAACTTGTGGGGGTAAGAGAGGACTGAAGGCTGGTGAAAGATGTGGAGTGGCTAAAGGGTTGTGGATGGAGAGGAGGAAGAATGGGCGGGAGATGGATGTGGGGTGGCAGGGGCAAGTGTTCCCAGTAGGTGCGAGATGAGCATGACCCCTAGTTTTTGTTTACTTAGGTGGTTCATGTGGAGACCAAGCGGAGTAAAATGTTTTCTTGAGAGGTTGTCAAGATCAACAAGTGTGATAGGTGTCCCTCTCAAGTGCAGTCTTATATGATGGTTTGCAATCTCAATTTCATGATTTATAGGAATGTTGTTGTGCCACTGGGACAGTGTGGTCATGATTACATTTGTATGTTTGGCAGTCTTGTATTTTTGTTAAGTGTTCTTCTGTATCAAAGTGACTGCCAGAGTTAATGTAGTTCTGCCCACCCATAACTACTACTGTGTCCTGTTACTTAAGAGATCAAGGCTGAGTGTTTAAGTTCTCAATTACATGTGCCATCGTGGCACTAGTGTGACGTAGTGAAATAAGAAATAAATTTCAATAAAAAAATATATTAAAGATTATGTACAAGTTACAATGAATTGCTAATATTAAAACACTCCGGCAACCTTTTCCTTTCAGAACACTGCTGTACCGCAGAAAATAACAACACGCGTGATGCGCGCTATTCGGACCTCGGCCCGTGACAATTACCGTCACATGGGCCTACGCCAAAATTTAACCCGTCGTGCGAACCGTTGCCACAGCACGTGAGATTGTCTGGGCCCTTACTGCTGCCGCGACCATCTCCCCACACTCCATACACCCCTTGTACACGCGTACAAGCTTCCCATGGCAGAAACTGAATGAGAACGCGGGCGCAGATGGCGCCGCCGTTAAATAGTTTGAGGCTGACACCCCCAACCACTGCTTCCAAGGTAGGCTCGCCGGCTGACGCGAGACTCGCAAGGTTGGTTAACGTCCACCACCACAGTGTTCTTAGGGTTTTGGCTGCCTCGCTTCCGCTTAAACCGAGGCTTCGCCGGCAGCATCCTACGGAGTTACAGCCTCCCGTATTTTTGGTCTGCGGTTACTACCTGAGTTCAACGCGCCACCACGAGCGCCAAACTCCCGGATGTTCAGGCTCAACCCCTTCCTCCCCCCGCCAGCCCGTACTTTCACCGACCTAAACGGTTCTGGCCCTCGTGTTAAACGGACGCCACCCACTAGGCTCAAAAACACCTGTAATTGAGAAAAACTTTGTGCGGGAGTTTCTCTTCTCACAATTGAGGAAAGGTTCCTACCATGGCTTTCAGATAGAATCCAAATTTACGTGTAGAGACATTGTCATACAATAATAATAAAGCGCATACAAAACAAGATGATATAATCTATTACATCAGACTAAGTATTAAAGTATTATAAAAATTATTTCAACACTAACAACAATTACTGTGTTGTGATACTAAAAATCAATACAACTGACATACATATTCAACCAGATTAGATTTAAAAAAAGTATTAATCCGTCACTACACTTCACTGTTTTTAATTTCACTTCACCGCACTTAAGTTACTTATTTTAATATCCTGATTACGCCTCAAGCTGTTCTAACTTATTTCTAAAAACTTCCGCACTAAGAGAAAGCTTTAATGTGTGCTGCGTAAACTGTTTCACTGTTTAATTCTCTGTTACAAAATGAAATTCCCAAGATCTGAATTTGTTTCCTGTTCGAATGTTGTGGGTCTGATCACTTCGGCCGAATTAATCTTTGATTTGGTCAAACCTGAATTCCTTCTGAGCTGTCGACTACACGATTTTATAAAGTGCATAGTCTCTCCCTTGTTATTGTCGTTTCTGAAGTACCCACATCTTTATATTGCTTTAGTTCTCTAGGTAAACTAATTCTCTTCCTCGTATTTCTTATACATAGATTTTTTCCGTGCGACTTCTTACGGATCGCCAACATGCACTCGAGGCGAACCAGCGGCAAGACATTAATTCTTTGGCTTTTGTTAGAACTTTTTTTTTAGAATTTGCATTACAAATGCAAAGATTTCAATTTTTCCCACTACCTGATTTATATCATTATCTCATCCGAATTACTGTTAATGAATGCCTATATATTTGCCGAGAGACTCGTGAATAACCTGACCTAAACGATAGTCTTGTTCTCATAATTGCGTCCCCCCGCCCGAAACATTTATTTCTGCTTTCTTACGTTAATTTCCATGCCACTTTGTTTAGCCCAATCACCGTAAATATTCTAGATCATGTAATATTTGCTTCACCAGCCATACCTTTTGGATTTTTGCGGTATTATAACAATCAGAGATACTATATATCGCATTTGTAATAACACATATCGTCTGAAATAAAGGCGCCTCTATTGTACAAGGTGCGCCAGAGAAATTACTATTGAAAGTAATAAAAACAAAAGTACTTCAGTTATTGTTTTAATTTTTTTATTTGAACTACAATATCCCAATCTTTTTCATGCAGTCTGAAATACATCGGAATAAATGGCGACCCATCATCCGAGAAAAATCTGGCCCCTAACAGCGATCATAGAGCACCTGAACTAGCTATAAAGTCCGACTTATTAACAACTAACTCCCCAGGTAACTACAGCCTTAATCGTACTCTTTAGATATCAATCGTATGTTGGCAATGGCGTCGCGATGTTTTTCTTCGAGGTGTCTATGGTCCTGTCGATCGACATAAACCAGGGATTTCAAATAACCCCATAAAAAGAAATCGCATGGAGCAATCTGGAAGAGCGTGCCGGCATTGGAGATCGCCTCTGCAGAAGATGAGGGGTCGGGGAATGTACGCAAACAAATTTCATTAGTCTCTGCTGGTGTGCTGTGGCTCCCATCTTGCTGAAACCCACACGTTCCTAACGTTCATTTGTCTTCGAGTCTTGGAAGAAAAAATTCCCTCGATCATTGTCCTGAACGATGCTCATTCACTTGGTTAACTCGCGTGCGTTTTCTTCAAAAAATAAGAACCAATTATTCCCATTTACCGACCATCGCACACCAACAGTAACTCGCTCACAATTAATGCTTCTTGGGAGCTCCACCGCGGGGATTTTTTTACCAAAACCAACCAAGACCCCAAAAATTAAACGCAATGTTTTTTTGCTTTTGTTGACGCAGCCGGAAATTGAACTAAGCCCTCGTACACTGAAAAAAACGACCGCGTCTTCAGCAGTTGTCAATCAGCAGTTCACACGCTTTTGAGCGGCAAACAAAATCGCGTTCACTTAATTCTGCACAACAGCCAGTTTGTACGGCATAAATTGAATGTCTCATGCAAATTCGTTTGAACAGTGCTGCCATTCCCATAGCGTGCGTAGGTTGCGAGCCGAACGTCGGCGGAACGCACATACTGACTGCGCTCACTCTTCGATATTTTCCGGGTTCTGATTGTCCCGTTAAAAGTCATTTTCGGGTTTAGCGACGCACTTCCACACTCCAAAGAGTTAACCCACGACAGAATCAGAATACGCGCCAGAACGAGTCGTGAGGAGGAATGGTCAAAGAGCGCGGAAGCCACGTTGCGTAGCAACAAGTGAGCGACGTAGAAAAGAACTCTCGACTGCGAAGGCCCCTGCTCTCTAGTCACAGCATGATGGCAAACTGACGGAAGGCGCAAGGAAAAAAAAAACTATGTAAAAACTTCCCCCTCCAGAGACGCCCCCTCCTCGCCCCTCTAACCGCCCAACTCACCGCGCGGGAATTTTTTCAAATAAGTTTCTCTGGCGCACCTGTATATTAACATGGAGATCATTCACGTACTACTCTAAGAAAAGTAAAAGCTCTAAAACACGTCCCTGTGGAACCCATGAATTATATATCTAAGTTTTATAGTTGTAGGAAGACGCAGAAAAAGTTTTGAATTTTCGAAAATTAAGGAATTTCCGTTGGCGGGGTGGGGGGAAGGAATTCAAAATACTTCAAATTTGCGTAACGTAATGACCGGCCCCTAACCAAGAAACAAAATTGAAGCCATTTTTTGAGGCTTCATGAGACATACCCTAAAATAGTTTCAAATTCACCGTCCCGCGACCTCGATCCGAGAATATAAATGTTGATTAAAATCCCACTCGTGGTGGAAAGATCTTTCCATCATGATCTCGCCTACGGTTTGCAGCTGGCATTATTTACAGACCTACTGAAAAATAGAACAAAATTACCATTTGGAAAAAGTTTTCTTTTAAATGCATAGTCTTAATTGAATATAACTGTTAAGGATTGCAGTATTGAGGAAATATAAAGGGAGGAGGGAAGTTTGTTTTTTGATAAATCAAAATTTCCTGAATATAAATATTGCAGGAAAGAAAATGTAATCATTTTGTTAATTGAGACTATCTGTAAATATATCACTCGTATTTTAATTTTTTTTTAGTAAGCATGGTACTGGACTGAAATGGGCCTAAGATCATGCTTGGAGAGCATGAGGGAGCTTTACATTAGGAATTGCCCGGTGGACTGGCAGTCACCAATGGAGGGCATGCTAAGTCCCTTAGTTGCAGATAGATGGCAAGAGGAATTGGGGCAAAAACCAACAAGAAAAGAAAAAGAAAGGTAGACCTTATTTGAAACAACAAAACTAAGTAGTATGAGAAAGACTGCCATTTTGTAACATAAATATCAAACATCTTTCATACTGAAGGGTAAAGGCAGCCACCCAAAACTAAAAACAAACAGGGAGGGGAGAGGAGAAATAATATAAAAAATGGAATAATTAAGCATAAAGTCTCCCTTTTCTTAAAAATGAAGAGAATATAATGGTCACAACTCAAGAGGGTAAGTTTCAGGTCTGGTATAATTTATGCATAAATAACAATCACATTGTATTCTTTGAGCTTCTTAGAAAGTTATTAGTACCAAGATCATTTATTTGATGCAAACACAGGAGAAAATCAGCCCTCATATGTATTGAACAAATTGAGCCTGCAAGTACAATCAACAGATACAGGCTGAAAAATTTCTTTATTTACACAATCAGTTTTACTAAATTCATGCTTTCAGATGAATAGGGCAAATGTACAAGAATAACAACAGTATGTATATGTGAATGATTTACACAAAACATTCCATATTAAGAAATAAAATTATTTTTATCCTAAAAAGCATACAAGACTGATTCATAAGTTTTCCATGGTACCTATGAATGTTACTGAGACTCCAAACATATTGGATTCTTCTCTATTTGCACCTATCACAATGAGAAAATAAATTTGTACAATAAGACTTTTCAATATGCCCAAGTTGGACTGTGGGCTCAGTAACACAAATTATGATAATGGATTAATTTGCAGTCTGTTAGACTTGGAGGCATTATAACCTTAGAATGAGTTCTTATGAAGTTGTTCATTATCACACTTATACCATTTACAGACATTATCACAATCACTGCCACTCTTTCCTCAATAGAGTCATATGAGCACTTGTAACACACATTCTCAATATATAATGGCCACTGAAATTCAATGAACTTGTTGAGAACACATTTCAGGAGATAAGGAACATGTTTTACATTCATTCTGTAAATTTACATCTAAAAGTACTTGAACTACATGAGAAAAAGAAATAACATCAGATGAGCAAGGACAGATTATGTGGTGAGTACAATATTTTTTATAAAACCATTCATTTGGAGTGTAAAGAATATTGGTGGACCATACACTAGAATATCATTTACAATTCATACAAGGGTAAGGACAAAAAGAAAATGCCAAATAATCTTAAAAAATAAGTAGAAAGTATAATTATTTCAGTTTCAGAAATATTGGATAATATAATAATGAAAAACATTTAAAAGGAAATGTAATGTAAGAAATATCACCCCTTCATATAAATAATTCCAAGGACAAAAAAAAATAAGGAACATCTTCTGAAGATATTTGGTATGTATATACGTAGTTC